CGCAAGTGACCTCAGATTATCTAGGTCAGATCAAGGTCAAGGACGTGGCTATGGGTACCTCGCATACGCTGATATTATCAAGTATTCTTCTATCTTTAATTTCTACATTTTTTTTTTCTAAATTGAATAAATAAAATACGTATATAAATATTTAGATAATTATGTATATGCATGTTTAATCCTTAATTATGGACATGTTTCGATCTGTCATAAATGCTTTTGTCCTGGAAAAGATATGAAAAAGCGTGTTAATTTACAACATGCATTCATGTACGACATGTATAATGGTTAAAAGGTTAAAGGTTAAATAGGTCAATTACACTCTTCCAAAGTTCAGAGGATTCAACAAAGCGATAATATTGCTAGTGCTGTATCATAACGACAGCATTAGTATGAATATATTTTACTTGAATAGAAAAAATATTCTGACAATTCTTCATATTTTCTCAACTAACTAGCTTCCGGTCAATGTTGCTCGTACGGATCGAACCAGCTCGGCCAGTTAGGCGTTCCCATGGATACCAATCAGGGATGTGCTGTTGTTCAGTTTGTAAAAGTCTACCAGCAACAGCACCAACAGCAAGAAGGCAGTAGTATTACTATAGATAGTAACAGCAGTAGCAGTAACAACAACAACAACAATAATAATAATAATAATAAAACTTCAGAAAATATAAACCCGGCTTATAGGTGGTTTTGTTACAGCTCGCTAATTAACGATTGTGATAATAATAATAACAATAATAATAATAGTAATAATAACAATAATAATAATAACGATAGTAATAATAACGATAATCATGAGATAAGTGTACTAAAGATAGCTTGTGGTGATGCATTCTCCGTTCTATCTACCTCGGGTTACAAACATTTATTATAATTAATACTTATTATATATATATATTAAAACGATTATTATAATAATTATATATATATATATATATATATATATATTATTACTGTAAAAGATATTATTAAAATTAAAGATGGTTCCATTTGGACGTGGGGCAAATCAAGTAGAGGCAGACTAGGGCGGACCAATCAAAATATTAGTCCACCGGCGCTGACCAATAAGAAGCAAGAATCGATTGCAGCGACAACCAATCAAAATGATTTTAATAATAGTACTTCTAATAGTACCGGTAATAAACAAAATGATAGTATTCCATCGACCAATGAGAATAAAGATTCAACATCTTCGTCAGCCAATAAGGTGTTTTGTAAAGTTCAGTCGACCAATAGATTAAATTATATCGGAAGAGTCGATATCGATAATGATAATAAAAATGTACTATCGCTATCTTGCAGTCACAGCGTAACTGTTGTTGCCTTTGCTAGATGATGATGATGATGGGGATGATGATGAGGAGGATGATGATGACCATATTTATTCTTAATTTAAAGCACCTTGTTTTATGTTGTTAAATTATAATGGTACTATATAAAACAAACGAATAAATTGAAGAATATTTTGTTCTTTCTGTTAAAAGTGGCGCCCAACAGAGTGGCTTTCTCAAATCTTTAACATTCCGAAGGTCAATATCCCTTTGAGGATACTTGAAACCTTTGTACTCTGGATACATAATGAAACAGTTAACAATTTGACTTTGAAGCGTGAAACTTTCGCAAAGATCAATTTTTTCAGTATTTCTTCTGCCAAGTATCTTTCAATTTGGAGGAATAAGTTTGTCTCGTTAGTATGCGCTAAAGATTCCTTTTGAGATATGCAGGCCAGTCTGAAATACAAGGCGGTTGTATATAGAAAAAAAAATCCTTTTATTTGTCGCTAATTAATAAAAACAATAATAATAACGACAATAATAATAACATAATAATTATTATTATTTAATAATTATTATTATTTAATAATTATAATAATTACTGAAAGATTACTAAAAGGGCAAAAATTTTCAAAAAATGTTTAAAAACATTACATACAAAACTGATGTAATACTACTAAGAACAATAATAATAATAATAAAACAATAATAATGAAAATAATAACCATCATTATTACAGCAATAATGTAAATAAATAACGATAATAAAACATGATATACAATGGTAATGACGATTTATGATGGAGAAAACGGTTATAACAATAAAAATAATAAGAATAAAAAAATATATCAAGGAAATAACCATTATATATATATATATATATATATATATATATATTTATATAATATATTGGCAGCGCGGTAGAGCGCCTGGCACTGCTATGGCAGTGACCGTATTCGATTGCAAGGACACCCTCACCTATAATACTCAACGCGTAGGGCGTCTGTGTTTGTCGTTGATGCCCCTGGAGCGAGGGAACAAGAAAGAATGACCCTTGACCTCTATTTATCTGACCTTCATTTATTTAATGAAATTATTTATATAAAAATTTTGGTAATTATATTTTCAATATGGGGCAGATTTTAAAAAATGGGAAAAAACTAAACCCTAACAAATAAGATATATATATATATTATATATATATATATATAATATATAAAAATATAAATAATATATATATACATATGTATATAATTTTGATATAAGATATGCAATGATAGAAATGTATATAAGAACATGTTAGACAGTTGGTGAGTAAAAACAATACATTTGTTGATAAGGATGACGAAGATAAATTTACATATAAGATTGAAATTTTGTAAAAAAAAAAAGAGAACACAGAGTAATAAGAATAACATAAAAAATTTCGAGGTAAATAAAATTACATACAGAAATAGTCCGGACATACATACACAAACAAACAAGCTAACACACACATACACACACACACACACAAACAAACAAACACACACATACACACACAAACAAACACACACATACACACACAAACAAGCAAACACACCACACACATACACACACTGGTACAATTGTACATACGTAATCAAACCTTCAAAAACTGAAGATCGAGCAATGACACATTACACTTATACGGACATACAAACACTTGAAAACGTACGCATACACAAACATACATACGTACACACATACATATAAACACACACATCATATATACATACAAAAGAATACACCCTCATATACAAACACGTGCACACACCCACACATACTAAAGATCGAAAGATAAACATGTCCATATATAAACCTAAACATATACATACTTGCCCGCATACATACATACATGTAGCACATATACACACACATACATATATACACACACGCATACACAAAAACATACACACACACACACATGTACTTTAAATCTTCTTATCTCAAAAGTTCAAATTTATGCAACACATACAAAATCTAATTGCATTCAACAAAAAATTTTCCTGAAACTTCAAATAATATAAATAACAACAGTAATAATAATAATAATAATAACTAAGAAATTTAATCTTGTACGTACGTATATATATATATATATATATATATACATACACAAATCATTAAGTAACTTGACTAAAAATCTGAAATACAATGAAAATAATAATAATAACAACAACAATAATAATAATATATAATATTAATAAATAATAATAATAATAAATAATAGTAATAGTAATAATAAAATAAGTTACCAAGATTTTCTTATTAATCTAAAAAACTTAAACAGTAATAATATCAATAATGGACATACATTTAAATAATGCATACAATATTTACATTTGTATAGGTTGAATCAGTATATTCTTTCGTTTATTCATTCGTTCATTCGTTCATTCATTCATTCATTCATTCATTCATTCATTCATTCATTCATTCATTCAATCGATTGATCGATCGATCGATCGATCAATCAATCAATCAATCAATCAATCAATCAATCAATCAATCAATCAATCAATCAATCAATCAATCAATCAATCAACCATTTGTTTACACGTTCATTCATTCATGAAATTAATCTACCATTAATTCAGCCCATTCGTTAAATTATCCCACAGTTCATTCATTCACTCGTTCGTTCATCCCATCCATAACTAACATAAAAAAACCACATCTTAATTCTGATTGGATGAAATAGTGCCCCTTAGAATTCTCGGATGCCTCTTACTGGCTGTCTTAGCTGGCTGGCCATCTCGATCCTCATTAAATGAGAAATTTTTATCACCTCAATTCTGATTGGATGAAATCATGACCTATATATTTTGATAATGTCTTTGATTGGCTGTCTGCAAATAGGGCACTGGGCGTCTTTGTACTCCTTGACGACGAGTGCACACTCGTAGCACATGCACATGTGGCCACACATGTACAGCACGCAGTCCGGAGCCTTCTCAAAACACACGCTGCATTCGTTGTTAGCATTGTCTTGCGATTCCATTGACGATGTTGAGGTTGTTTGTTGTTGTTGTTGTTGTGTGATGTTGTTGCTGTTGTTGTTGCGGTGTTGCGGAGATGATGACGTCGATGATGACGATGTCGGTGAAATGTTGCGTTGTTGTTGTTTTTGAGGGAGTGTTGTTTTCTGCCTGGAAGGTGTGTTGTTGTTGTTGTTAGCTAAGTTTGGCGTCGTTGTTGTTGTCGTCGTCGATGTAATGTTGCTATAGAGGTAATTTGTTGAATTGTAAACACTCGTTCGCCTTACAGGAACCGGAGCTTTTGTTGCTGCTGCTGATGTAGTTGTCGTCAGTGGCGCTGTTGTTGATGATGAAATTGTCGTCGATGGGGCTGAGTTTGCATTCGATCTCGAGTGAACAGGAGTCGAAGGTTTCGAACTGGCATTCATCAAAGTCGGAGTTGATGAATTTCGATGCTGATGGAACTGTTGTTGTTGTTGCTGCTGCTGCTGTACAATAATTGATTGAATGTTTAATCTGGCCAGCTCGAAAGCCGTCAAATTAGCCGACGTGGCGGACACTGCATTAGCTGCTGTTGTGGTCATGGCGTTGCTTACGGAGTTACTTCTCAAGAAGTGCAACGAGTTTGTGGACATGGGCGGAGGAATGAAGGGTGCATTTTGTTGCTGCTGAAGTTGCTGCTGCTGCTGAATTCGTTGTTGCTGCTGCTGCTGCAAATGATGCTGTTCCTCATCAGCAACGCAGTCCTCAACAAAGGCGGCGACATCAAACCCAGCAACCAAAACTTCATTGGAATTATATTTACCTCCATTCTTAAACATCTTCGGTGGTAGGGGTGGGTAATTTGATATGCGACTAGCATTGATGTTACTAGATCTGGGTGTGGCCCTTGGGGGAGGTGGACGGGGCGGCACAGGGGGGTCCACACAGCCGGACCCCGCACTGCTGCTACTACTGATAAACGCGTTGTCGTCTTCTGAGAAATCTAGTAAATTTGTCAGTAGCAAGTTTTGTTGCCGATGTTGTTGCTGCTGCTGCTGTTGAATGCTGTTGCTACCACTACTGCTGCTAATGCCGTTTGTGTAGTTGCTGTGGCCGCTGTGGCTGCTTATACTAAGGTTGTCGAAGAAATCAGCAATGTTATTACTATTGTTAATGTTATTGGTGTTGTTGCTAATATTATTATTATTATTATTATTATTATTAGGTGTAGCGCTATACCATTGCTGTAGAAAAAATGGCGACGATGATGACGTCAAGGATGACGATGATGATGAAGTGTTCGCAAAGATAGTGGCTAGAGAGTTATTTTGATTGTTGTTGCCGCTGTGTTGGTTGATGTGATGATGTTGTTGAAAGAGAGGATGTTGTTGTTGTTGATGATGGTGATGATGATGATGCTGGTGATGGAGAGGAAGTGTTGATGATGATAGCGGAGGTGTGAGTGATGATGATGCCCTCGACGGAACGTTCGTTGTTCCTATTGGTTGTGATTATGATGATGATAACGATGATGATGACGATGATGATGACGATGATGATAACGATGTACAGATTTTGATGGTTAATGCAAATAATGAGATGACAATTTTTTATAATGGCCCATTCAATTATTGATATTATTATTGATATTATTTACCACAAAAACTAGTACTACAACTGCTACTAATACTACCGCTGCCACCACTACAACGACTACTGCTTTAGCTGCAACTACAAATACTACTCTGCTGCTACAACTACGATGACTAAAGCTGCCACTACTACAACTACAGCTGCTGTTGCTACTATTAGTTACACTACAACTATCAATAGTACTTACAAACAGTAGAAATTACACAACAATACTAAACTGTCCCAGATACTAACCAAGCAATTTTATAGCTTGGGTATTGCCATAGACATCAAAAAAAGCAGTTAATTGTACGGCCATGTCAACGTGCATTAAGGTGGAGACAGTGTGGCCGTTTTTGCCGTATTTGACCTCGCCTGGAATAAATTATGTTAATTAGGTGAGTAGAAAAGGCGAAGGTCGTTTGAATGAATGAAACGAAAGCAATTGTTTAATAGATGAAAGAGCAATAATAACGTCATTAAATCAATCAAACAATGAACAAATGAATCAACCAACCAACCAACCAACCAGCCAGCCAGCCAACCAATCAACCAACCAGCCAATCAACCAACCAACCAACCAGCCAGCCAGCCAACCAATCAACCAACCAGCCAATCAACCAACCAACCAACCAACCAGCCAGCCAGCCAACCAATCAACCAACCAGCCAATCAACCAACCAACCAACCAGCCAGCCAGCCAACCAATCAACCAACCAGCCAATCAACCAACCAACCAGCCAATCAACCAACCAACCAACAAATCAACCGACCAACCAACCAACCAGCCAATCAACCAACCAACCAACAAATCAACCAACCAACCAACCAGCCAGCCAGCCAACCAATCAACCAACCAGCCAATCAACCAACCAGCCAGCCAATCAACCAACCAACCAGCCAATCAACCAACCAACCAACAAATCAACCGACCAACCAACCAATCAAAATCGACAAACCTTCAGCAGTCAGATGAAATGACAACTCGTCCCCTACATCTGCATTCGAACAAACGTCCTTATTCACCACCCAGTACTCCTTCCTATCTAACAGTAGGTCGGAATCATCGGGAAGTTCGTTGGGCAGCAGACTGGATACGTCACATGACGTCATACCGAAAGCCACACCTCCAGTAAATGCGTTATCCAATGAAAGAATCTGCGCGAAAATGACATCATTAAAGAAATTACAACAACGACATTACAACAACAACAAAACATTAACAACAACAACAAAAACAACAGCAACAACAGCAACAAACAACAACAGCATCAACATCAGAAACACTAACAAAAAACCCTAACCTGAATGACAACTTTCTCCCCGGGCTTAAGATGTCGCGACATGAATACGTACCCGTTACAATACTCGTCTGCCAAGCGCGAGGCTATCTTCTTGTCATGTGAAAGCCTTACGTTTTTACCGGTAACTTGATGCAGCGCTACGGAATTTAAATTTTTGTTGTATTTTACTGGGATGTTGATGTTGTTGGTGACGACGATTAAGTTACCACCACAATGTAGTTGCGGCTGCTGCTGCTGCTGATAATTCGTCGTCGAACGCTGGAGCTGCTGCAAATTGTGGTTGTTGTTGGAGTAGAAAGAATTGTTGCCGATGACGTTGTTGTTGTTGTTGTGTTTTTTGTTGTTCTTTGGCTGCTGGGTGTTGGTTGACGATGTTGTTGTGTTGATGATGATGCTGTTGTTGTTGTTGCTGTTGTTGTATTGCGATGAAGAGGACGACGACGACG